TTTTTAATTTGACCAATAGCTTTTGCTACAACTGAATCACTAGCTTAAGGTGAGTGATGATGTTCAATAAATTTTTTAAGATAATGTGAACCATTAATAAATTTAGTTATTATTCGACTTTTACAATTTTCTAGCTTCTTTTTTCTACAAACCCAATAAAATGTATCCTTAAGTATTTTATTCTTTAGCATTAGATAGCCATGAACATTAATCTTAATATTTCCTTTTTGTAATAGAACTAATTTACAAATTTCTTTCATTTTTTAAAATAGGTTTCGTGATTAAAAAAGCAAGAAAATATAGTTGCAGAAAATCAGTAAGAAAGAAGTGGTGAAGAATCAGATAAAATCAGAAAATTAAAAGTTGAGAATAACAAGGCTATATTTAAAAAAAAAGCTTAGCAATCAAACTTTTACAAATATGATACATGATACATATTGCATCACATGCATTACAAATCTTGTATTTCTTAAAGATATTATGAAAATTATTATATATTTTGTCAAATATAAAAATTATAAAATAATAATATATAAATTAGGAGGATTCAATAAAAGAATAATAGAAATTACATAATTTATAAAATCAGGAGAATCTCACAAAGTTGTATATATAATTAATTTTAAAATTTATTAAACTATATAATTTAATCATTTTATTGTTATATTTTAATAAAATGATTTCAAAAAAACTTGAAAAATAGATTTTGCAGAATACCGTAATCAATAAAATCTCGTGATTTCAGAAAATGTGATAAAATACCTCAAACCTAACTGATCCTAAACCTGATCCTAAAACTGATCTTAAATTAATCTAACTAATCCTAAACCAATTCTAAACAAATTCTAAACCAACCTAAGTCCCTAAACTTACCCTAATTTAAATCACACTTTTGTTAAATTATGTGAATTTATGAAACGTGATTTTTAGTATTGTATTATTTCGGGATTTTATAAATTTCTGAATATTGATGATTTTAAAAAACTGTATTTTTTGGTAAAACGTGATCATCAGGATTTCATCATTTCAGAAAAATGTTATATTCAGGAAATATTAATTTCAAAAATCTGATATTCAGATATATATCGTTTCAGGATTTTGAGTTTCGCCATTTAATATGAAACTCATTTATTTATTTAATTTAAAAATATATATAAATTGCTTTTTAAATTGTTAAGATGAATTATATATAATATTTTTCTAGAAGTATCATAACATAGAAGATATTTTACAAAAAGAATTTTAGAGAAGTGTTGTGAGAAATATAAATAGTATTTGTAAAACTGCATTTATAAGGCTTCAACATAAATTTAGTTCTTTAGTTTCTCAATACAATGTAAGCAAAATAATAATCAAAAGAAATATATATTTTATATAAGTAGGTTTAATAACTTATTTCTCTCTTTTCTTTCTTTCTTAAGACATACAATTAAAATAAGCCAATGATTTCAGAAGTAAGTAAAGTCAAGCTGGCAAAAAATATTTTGACAAGTTCAATATATACTTCTGAGAGTTGTCAGGTAAATGAGAATAATTTATATTTTGATACTATATATTTATATTTCTATTTGGGTTTATGCTTAAATATTAATTATATTTGTATTTTAATACTATTCAAATGATAATCATGATTATGAACAAAGAAGAACCACAAAGATTCAAGAATAATAGGATGTCTGAAGAGGTAAAAAATTTGTTTAATTATGATTCCAAATTCTTTTGTTTTAATATGAAGGAGTATTTATGTAAAAGTTATTCAATTATAATAAATTTTTTAGGAAGACAACATAGTATTAAGTGTAATTGATGATGATAATGACAATAATTACAATAATTATAATAATAATAACAATAACAATACCAATACTAACACTAACATTACTATCATTAATAATATTAATGTTAATAATAATGATATTATCTTATAAATTTTTTTTATTTTTTTTTATTTTATATATAATTTACAAATATTTTTTCTCTTTTTTTTACTTTTTTTATATATTTATGAACAATTTTTTTTTCTTTTTACTTTTTTTCCATTTTGTGTTTTTTCTATATTATAAATATTTTTTTTTATATACAAATTTTTTTCTCTTTTTTTTACTTTTTTTTTATATAAATATTTAAAAATATTTTTCTTTTTTTCCTTTTTTATATATATTTACAACCATTTTTTCCTTTATTATATTTATAAACTTATTTTTTTTTCATTTTTATATATTTGCGAACTTTTTTCTTTTTTTCTTTTTTACAAACAATTTTTACCTTTTTTAATTATTTTTTTTTCTATATCAATAATAAATATAATTAATTTTAATTTCTAATAAAAATAATTTCTGATAAAATAAACTTTTTTACTAATTTTAAGTATAATAATAATCATATAATAAATATAACAAATAGTTTAATATAACTTTACTGAATTTTTTTATTATAACGAATTGTATTCTTTAAAAATTAAAATTTGCTATAGAAAACTTCAACTATATTAAAATATTATTAGAAAATACTTGTATACAATTTGCAAATCAAATCAAATATTTGAAGATTAGTTTATATTTGATCAAATTAAATTCTTTAATTTGAATTTGATCAAATTAAATTAATGATTAATTCATATTTGATCAAATAAATTTTTCTTTGATTTGAATTTGATCAAATCAAATATTCAAATATCAAATTAAATTGCAGAACCCTAATAATTACTATTAAAATTTATTAGAATAAAATAGTAAAATTTCAAGTCAAAATAAGAAAAAATAATAATATGAATAATATATAATTATATTTATCATTTTTGAATGAAAGATCTCAATAAGAGAAATTCTATCAAGTCAAAATACTTTTATATATAATATAGAAATCTTTAAAGAATAAAATGTCTTAAAAAAAAATAAGCTAATATGAAAAAAATCATAATAGAATTACATAAAAATCTATATAAATACTATATAAAAAAAATCAAATTGATCTAATTTATTATTTACTTGGATCTCTTATGAATAAGAAGGATGATAAAATTATAGGTTAAGATAATTTAAAAGTAGACTTTAAAGTCTGATTTAATGATTTTTGCAGAGATAGATTCAAATATAAATATTGTATATTTCTCTAATTTGGGATCTTATAATATAAATAAAAATCATGATTAATCAGTAATAGCAAATGATATTATGATAATTTCAATCTCATAAATTAATATTTTTTTATATTTTAAATTTTTAAAAATAATTAGAAAAATACTAGAATCAAAGAAAATTAATTATATGATTTTGAATAAAAAACAAAGATGATATTTAAAAGATACATTATTATGATATATTTGCTAGTCTTCATGTTGAGCTACCAAGAATTATTATAATACAAATAGCGGAACAGAAAAATCTTATCAAAATAATCCAAAAATATTATATAGAACAGAAGGAATTGAAACTAAAATACCAGTACTCATTAATTACTTTAATAACGGTTATAGCTAAGGTTGCTTGTCTAAAAATAACATTAAATAATTTATAAATAATAATGCTAAAATATACAAAAAATAAATCATAGAATTTTAGATTAAGCCAAAAATAATATAAATAAAAAATGATATTATATCATACCATTTATATATACTGTATATATTTATTATTTAATGCGTTTATAATAAACATTTTTAACTTTGATAATAAAATTATTATTTTGTAAATTTAATATAATATTTACATTTTACAAACCTAAAGCTGATAATTACCAATTACATATCCAGTCTTTTCGTTTTGAATTTAGACATATAATTCCATATTAAAATCTTTTGAATTTTACAAATTTTCGAATTTTTTTTAAAAAAAAAAAAAAAAATATTATTTATATCTAAAAGCAATAACTAATTGTAAATTTACCACATTTAATTCTGTTATCAACGCAATGTTACATTATTATAATTTTATATATTTTATAAGCGAAGTACTTTTTAAATTAATTACCCTTTCTTATAATTCATTTTGATTACGATAATTCAAAAGTATTTAAATCTGTTTATTTTTAATGTTATAAATTTAACTACGAATTAGTTATAAATAGAAAATTGTATAAATTTAGATAAGATTGAAATTAAAGATACTATTATAAACTATTAATATCATGATATACCGCAACTATGGTGACGATTAATTATCTAAGGTTGTTCTTCTAGTAGTTGTAATGAATGAATATTTGTACAATGCCTGGGTACATCAGGTTACCATGAATTAATCCAAAGTGATAGAGGGTTAACGGATAGAATCTCTATGGTGACGTGTAAAGATATGCCGAAGATCTCTCTATTTAACCTACCCTAAATTGCGACTTCATTATATCAAGAATAGATTGTATATCAAAGAAAGATACCGAAAAAGTCTAGAAAAGTCAATGAGTTCTTTATCAATAAAAGATGTGATAAGACGATTGACTTATCGGCGATCTATGTTTATTCTAATTTTTTTTTTTTTTTTGCTGGTTTTGAAAGTAATAATATATTTAAAAAATTTTAAATAAAAATTAACTAGTAAAGTTGATTAAGATGTGATCTGATTCAGTAAAAGCTTGAAAGCTGAAGATGAAGATTTAAAATTACATTGATTTTTTAAAGTAATTTTGGAGGAGATACATTTGAAAAAAAAAAGTATACACAATTATGGATCTCAAGCTTTTCAGTCCTTTTCTATAATATACTAATAACTATATCGAATAATCCAACGCTTAATTATAAAAATACATTAATCTCATAATATAATCGTAACTCGGTTAATCGAAAATTTTATTATAATAAGGGTAAATAAATAAAAATCGGCATTTGGTTAAACAAGATTTGTAAGAATCTTCATTATAAGAAATATTATATGAATGGAAACGATGATTTGAAGAAACCCAAATTGTACATCGTATTCAGTCCATCCTCATCTCTCATAAAGCAGTATCCCGTCGCGTTATGTTTGGCAATTAATGGTTCCTGCAATGTCAACAAAGAAACATTGCAATCACCGCCTCCCAATAGCTCTTCCCATTGGTGGAGGGGGCGGCGCACGTTGTGGAGTTCCTTGTAGCGTTAAAGATGACAAATCCAGTGGAATCGCTACCGGTAAGATAATAGAAATATTAATAACCCGTTCTTGAAATATATGTATATATATATATATATTACTTATTTAAATACATACAACTTCCACTTGAAGCTCCAGAAGGATATTCTCTAATTGATTTTATAATAGGCCGCGGGTTTGGAAAGTCGGACGAAGGATGAAATGTCCAACGTCCCTCTGTAGTTGGTGGTTCTTTTTGTGATGGTATAGCTAATCAATTATTAAAGAGGAGAAAATGTTAATGAAGAAAAATAAAGAGAATATGACGGAAATTATTATCAAAATTTACGTACATTTAGCAAATCCAGGAGAACGAGCACGAGGTGGCTGAGGTGGTTGAAGTGAAGGCGAATGTGATTGTTGCATAGTAGACACGGATCGGCTTGGAGGTTGTGGTGCCGATCTACTACTTGTAAGTGATGATGGTTTATTCGGTGTTGGTGGTGGTACTTTTTTTACAGCGGGTGGTGGAGGGGTAGCACTTTTTGTATTCCGTGAAGGTAAAGGCGGGATCGATGAAGTTGAATTGGATATTTGTGTACGATTTGGTATTTGTGGTGGTACCGCATTCGTTTTTGCGCGTGTAGGCAATGGTGGTACATTAGGTGTTGTTCGATTTGGCAGAGAAGGTGGTGTTGTCGTTTCTGAATTTATAGGTTTACCGATGCTTTTTTGTATCGTGTTTCTAAATGAAAACTGAGCTTCACCTTTTGATTGCTGTACAGCGACAGATACTTGTTTTCCATCACTTGGAGCTCTTGGACGACCACCCGGTAAAGGAGGTGGTGCTGCAAGATCTAATAAAAAATAAAATTATTTTAAAAAATTTGAATCGTTGCATATTGTCATCTGGTTAGCAACATACAATATAAAATAGAAATTTAAATTGCATACTATTATTATCTCTTCCAGTATCAATGCCGCCACGGTTTTTCAATTTTGGCATACCACCCGCAAACAAACCACCTAGAGCAGGAGGCGCTGCAGCGGTTTTAACGCCAGACCCTCCAGACGTACTTGACGAACGAGCTCGACCTTTATTTGATAAACCAACCAATGCGCTCCCTATATAATTAATCAAAGATATAAATCGTTTTAATTTAAGCATAAAAAAAATGAATAAAATTATGATGCAAGTAATCATTCGTATTCTAACCAACTTTTCAATATATGTCATAAATAAATACTTGCATTTTCGAAATGAACAATTTATCAAAGTTAAATAAAGAGCCGAGTGACATCTTTATAATTGAATAAGGAAATCTTAAAATACTTAACCCTCTATAATAGGAGAAGATCGATCGTTTGTAATGGCCTTTTTCAACCTTTTTCCTTTTTGAATGTCGTCAAGCAAGGCATTTCTGCCTCCTGAAGGTGTGGAAGTTGCTGTTGGTGGTGGAGGTGGTGGTGGTGGTGGTCCCGGCATTTTGATTTTATTATTATTATTATTATTATTATTAAAAAAAAAAAATTTATAAAAAATTACGATTGGAATAATTTCTTTATATATTTTAAATTTTGACTGCGCCTTTGTTGAATAATGAACCCGCCAAGATGTTTTGCCAAAATTTAATACAAGCCTTCATTGAAATCATTTTTATGTATTTTGCCTATCATTTCTAAAATGGTCAAATGGTCAATCAAGTATTATTTCATTAAAGGTTCTTGTCATTATTGTACTAAAACAAGTTATTTATCAGTTAGTCTTTTATGTTTCATTATGATAAATCATTTGATAGAATACTATATTCCAAGATAGTAGTAATATAGGATATTTTTATCTTGAAATATGACCTAAATTAGGTATGCAATATTAATTTCTAGGATAATAGAAATAGAGATAAGTTTTTTTTGTATTCTTATAATAATTATTTGTAAATTTGTATAAATTTATTAAGAAATATAAATCAATATAATAAAAATTGAAAAGTAGATCTGTTGAATAAATATAAATCATACTGTCAATTATCAAAAAATATTAAAAGGTTAATGAATTAATAAAATAATAGTTTAATTTTAATTTTCTATTATAACTAATTAATATATAATTTACATAATTAATACAGTAACTCTTGATGTAACAATCCTAGAAACTGAATCTCAATTTTATTATAAGATTATAACTAATTCATTATAATAAGTTGTTGTATTTTTAATATTTTAATTAATTAAATGTAAAAATTTACTATATCAAGTATTCAATATATTAAGATTTGATTATATTTTTAATATAAATTTTTTTTATAATTCTAAAATATTAAAGTAATAAAAATATAAATTGTAATAAAATTAATAATATTGATATAAAATATTAATAAGTATAAAATTACTACTAGTAAAGTTATATAATTATTAAGATAATTTTCTGAAATTATAATAAAAATACATATTTTGATTATTTTTTTTAAAAAAAAAATTTTAGATAATAATATTATTTAAAATTTATTTTAATATGTAACTTAAAAATTAAAAACTTTTAAAATAAGTTTTCTTAAATTTATAAAAAAAAAACTATTAAAAAAAATAATTATTATAAATAAATAATTTAATTTTAAAATATCTTTAAATTTAAAAATTACATAAAAATAATTTAGAAAGGTATTTTTATATTTAAATATTAATTTATTAGAAAAAAAAATAAATATTTATAAAATTAAATTAATTATTAAAATCATTTTATATGTTATTATTTATTATATATTGTCTTATTGTATTTAGAATTTAGAATTTAATAAAAAAAAATTTAATTAATTTATTTTAAAAAATAACCTAATAAATTAAAATTAATTTAAATTAATTAATTTATTATTAAAAATCTAGTTTTAATAAATTTTAATATATATTTAAGTTATAATTACATTAATAAATAGATTTTAAAAATTTTTTAATAAAATATTAATAAAATTATTATCTAATTTATTTTAAAAATTATTAATATCTGTTACAGCTATTTTTATAATTCTTGAATCAATAATAATTTTTCAGTTATAGTTAGTCATATTCAGTCACAATTAAGCTTAGTAAAAATTTAACAAAACTAAAGATATAGATGTTTAGCCAAATTAAAATTAAGTTTAAATAAGTAATCTTAGTTTAAAACAAAGTTAAGCATTATATACTAATAAATAAAATTTAAAGTTTTTTTAATAACATTAAAATAAAAATTTTAGCTTTTATAAAAAAAATACTTTTATTAAAATATTTTCAAAACTTTAATCTTAAATTAATACTAAAAATTACTAATTAATATAAAAAACATCATAAATTTTATTATAAAAATATTATTGGTTTAATAACTAATTATTAATATATTTAAAATTAACTTTAAACTATAACTAAATGAGGGAGCTTATTTGGCTCACATTATTATAAAATTTAAAAAATACTTTATAAAAATTAGATATATTTTTAAAAG